ACTCTTAAGTGTATTTGATAGATTTGACTAACTTACTTAGGGTTAATGATTTTTGGATTTTAATAGAATTTACATATTTAATACCTCAACTACAAGTCCTTGAATGGGCCAAAATATGTTGGTTTGCATTAATTTAATTCTAGGTGGAGGCAATGCATAACATCTTCTTAAATAAAATTTGGAATAAAGTTTCTCTTTATGAAATCTAACCATGCTTTATGAAAGCAAGCCCAATAGTAAATATGAACATATATTTCATATAGTTTTCTTATGTTATACACATAAATTCTCCATGTCAAGTTAGTTTTCTACATTGTCTACACAAGTTCTCCTAATGATTTCACTTTCATATTTATTGTAAACAAATCTCCATAATACCATTGCTCTTTGTCTATTTTAGAACTTTTTCACCATATATTAAGAGTTGTATCTGCCTAATAATTTATATATTTTTTAATATGTTGGGTAGAAATATATTTTTAATACTATAAAAATAGTGTACGTAGCTTATTTTAGTTTGTTGGTTGGAGTTTTATCAACTAATGCATAAGTCTTGAGTTCAAAAACTTAGGTACATGATATGTGTATAAATTTAAGAATAAATTTTATGCCCATAATGTTTTTAAAACAAATTAATTTAATTTTAATTTTCTCATCTTTTTATTTTCACTATTTTGTTTTTTTATTATGACTTATTAGTATATTTTTTAAATTAGTTTTTAAATTTTTATTAAATATTTAAGAAATCTAATATAATTATTTAAAAAGCAACATTAAATTTATCTATATATTAAATAAAAAAATTATATCTTGTAATTAAATTTTATTCATACAACATTCTAATTTTTTTCTTAGAATATTATATTTCTTAAATATTTAATAAAATTTTAAAAACTAATGTAAAAATATACTAATAAGTTATTGTTGGTGGCTAGAATATACGTGGCAATAAAGTTAAAATCTTACGTCTTAGCATTGTATGGATATTCATCTCACACACATATAACACAATATTTTTTACGTGTAAAACCCTTAAAAGGGGAAAAACCACGGGGCCTAGCTCAGTCTAAAATAATTCCACTAATGTTTGGGTAGATTATAGTGGATTGGCTCGTCCCTAAGGGTGTTCAAATTACAAATGTCAACCATATGGTTAAAAATCTAGTGGCAAATGGGGATGAAAGTCCGAAATCACTTGGTGGTCTGGCGGAAGTCCGACGTGACTTGGAAATTTGGGCATTGATTGGTAGTCTAGCTGAACTCCGGGGTCACTTGGTGGTATGGTGGAACTTCGGGTGTCAGGTGGTGGTCTGGCGGAACTTCGGGCATTATGTAGGGGTTTGGCAGAACTATGACGTCATGTGGTGATCCGGCAGATACCCAAGCCTCATGTGGTGGTCCAACAGAAGTTTGGGCCTCAAGAGGTGGTCCAGTAGAAGTTCGAGCCTCATGTGGTGGTTCGACAGAAGTCGGGGCCTCAGGTGGTGGTCCAGCAGAAGTCGGGGCCTCAGGTGGTGGTCCGACGAAAGTCGAGGTCTCAGGTGGTGGTCCAATGGAAGTTCGAGCCTTAGGTGGTGGTCCAGCAGAAGTTCGGGCCTCAAGTGGTGGTCTGATGGAAGTCCAAGCCTCAGGTGGTCGTCCAGAAGTCCGGGCCGGGCAGTGGTCGAGGAGGAGTAAGGAAGCAAGAGCGATCTCCGATCTCTTTCTTATTTCCTTTGGCTTGGGTGCCCCTTTCAAGAGAAAAATGGGTCTATTTATAGATTTCCTAGAGTGGCATGGCCCGTAAATAGGAGGACGATCAAAGATAAATAGGGAGTGATTTGGATGGACGGCTGATGCTTAATCCCTTGATCATGGACCGTTTGTTAGATATTTGAAGGTTTTAATGATGTAAAAATTACATGATCTTGTGCTTGTTGGATTCGTCTCGTTGGGCCGCTCGATTTGACTAGAAGCATGTTATGTTTGGAAACTATTTGGTAATCCAAATTGGGGTTTGAACCTTCCAACATTACTTTGATTTGAACCCATTTGGGCTCGAATTGAGTATAATTTGGTGTCGTTGGGTTCGTATTTTTGAGACATTCAATTTGATTATAAGTTTGTTGAAATCGGAGTTAATATGATCCCAATTTTAATTTAGGAAGTTTCCAACTTGATTTTGCCTTGAGATTCATGCCTGATCAAGATAATTTTTTGATGATGTATCAATTATAATTAAAAAAAATAGTAAAAAATGAGTGTTGCAGACTAAAATATTTATGGTTGTAGAGAGATATATACTTTAGTGTCCGAGCTTTGTATAAATATCAAGCACATAGACAAATAAAAGATAGGGGTGTGAGAGTCATAAGAGACGTCAAGATTTTTACGAGGAATACCCTGAAGATTGGAAAAACTATAAGGCTTGGCTCAGTTAAAATGATTACAATAGTGTTTATTGTTGATTACAAATGAGGCACTTCAATGGGGGGAAGGCCTTGGCATGATGTAGTAAATACATTATATAAAGCATATTACATGGTGGTGGTTGAAAGAATCAATGATAAGGGAGTCATTCTAAAGAGAAGGTTGACATGTTCATTTGGTTGGAAAGACGATAGAGGTTGGAGGGACCTTAGCCGGCAGGCGACGAAGTTCGGAGGGGTTGTAGTCATCAAATAATGATTGTCAGAAGGAGCGTTGTCAACGGGCGACAGAGGTCGGAGGGACCGCAGTCAGTGGGTAACAGTGGTCAGAGGCATCGTAGTTGTCAAGCAATGGTGGTCGAAGGTACTATAGTGAACAGACGATGGTGGCTAAAGGCATAATAGTCAGCGAGCGTCGGTGGTCGGAGGGATTATAGTCGATGGGCGTCGGTGGTCTAAAGGACCGTATTTGATGGCAACGGTGGTTCAAGGGACCATAGTTAATGGGCGATGTTGGTCGAAGGGACCATAATTAGATGAGGGAGGGTGGGGGGCAACATTGGTCAGTGGAACTACAATCGATGGGCGACAGTGGTCCGAGGGACCGTATTTGGCAAGTGGCAGAGGTGGCAGGGACCATAGTCAATGATAGTTGTAAGAGGGACCCTAGTTAGCGATCGACGTGAGGTCGAAGGGTGACGGTGGCTAGAAGAATAATAATCGGTGGGCAATGGTGACCCAATGATAGTCGAGTGGAAGTCCGACATTAGTCATCAGTCGGGTGGTAGTCCGTCAGCAGTCGGCTACCGGCTAGCAGTGGTCCAATGATGGTTAGGTGAAAATCCGACGATGATCGTAGCTAGGTGAAAGTTAGGCGGCAGGGCTTTGGTGGCGGCAGGGTGGAAGTCTGGTGGCTAAGCAGTGTCCGACGATGGTCGGGTGCAAGTCAAGAAGAAATCGACTATTGGCAGCCGAGTGGAAGTCTGGAAGTGATTAATAACCAAGTGGTGGTCCGACGGAGGTTCGTCGACGGTAGTGCTAGAGCTCTTAAAGCCTTAAAGCTTTCTCCATTCTCCAGCCAAAAGGTCCAAGCCTTAAGCCCATTTCATGTAAAGAATGTGGGTATATTTATAAATTTTTAGAGTGACATGTCTTGTAAATATGGAGAAGATCTAGGACAAATTTGGAGTGCTCATCGGACGACTAATATTGATCTTCTTGATCATAGAGCATTTGTGAAGCATTTATGTGCATAAATGATGTCAGAATTAGGCGAGGTTGAGCTCATTAGATTTGTCTTGTCAAGGTGTTAGACTATAAGCATGTTATATTTGTATATAATTTGATCATCCAATTTAAGCTTTGAACCATCCACATAAGCTTCAGGCCCCTGATTTAAACTCATTTGGGCTCGAATTGGATCAATTTTGAAAGTTTTCAATTTGATATCGATTTTAAATTGAACCAATTCGTTGGATTCGTATCTTTGAGACATCCAAATTGACTGTAAATTTATTGAAATTAGAGTTCAGATGATATCGATTTTAATTTTGAAAGTTTTCAATTTGAACTCCTCAAGATTTGTGCACGATCAAGATGATTTTTGATGAAGTGTCAATGAGAAAAGTAAAATTAATTTATTTTATTTTAAAACATAATTTATATAAAGATATATAAAGTTACATACTTATATAATATAAAAAATCAGGTTTTGCTAGCTTATCTTTATTTTATTTTTTTCCTTAAACTAGTGGCTGAACTTGCTAGTGCCCCTAAGTCCAGCTCAACAAATCAATCACAATCACCATGGAGGAATTAGTCTGTACGCAGTTCGAACACAGAATTGGATTCGGATGCTGCGTATTTACTGCTTATTTTACTGCGTATTTTTTGATACATTATATTTTCTACATATTTTTTGCGTATTAATTGTGTATTTAGTGAGTATTATTTATGTATTGCTTTTTGAAACGAAAAAATTTGATATCAAAAAATACGTAACTCAATAAACAGTAAATACGTAGCATCCAAACGCGTTCGGATTACGTACAAAATAATTTCACCAATCACTGAGGCTGCCACAACCTGGCTCTTTCTAAATTTTATTTTTTAGCTGTCCATATGGTTATAACTCAATTATCTCCCCCAAAAAAAAAATAGATCACATTAACCGTACATGTGGAAATCGAACGCTCAGAAACGCGCCACAAGAACTGAGATCCAACGCCTGATCAGGTCATTGCATACGTTTCGCTTGTGGGCCCACCTCGGTGGTGCGCATCATTCGTAGCTTTCAAAAAAGAAAAACGCCGGCAACTTCGACGAACGTGAAGAGGCAGTGGGCCCCATCTCGGCGATAATGCCGACTTCTAGGGTCATTAAAGCATCTCACTTTCCTTCCCCTCTCACCATTTATTTAGGCTCTATCCGTGAGCGAACGACAATCGCTCTAGTCTTCAGGAAAGCGTTCATCGGCTGAAGAGGTGAACGGATCAGGTAAACTCTCCTCTTGAGAGTTTCGCGCAGATTTTCTTCCTTCCTTGCGATTGGCGGGATCTTTCTCTCTGGTTGGTTTCGATTTTGCGTTTGTTCTTGGGAAATCGAGCATACTGCCTCTGATTATTTGTTTCTGAAACCCCTTTTTGTTTTGTTTGCTCTGCACTCTTTACTGGAGGGAGATAACTGGGTGAAGAATTTCTTTCGGATTGGATTTTCGTTTTATTTATGGTCTGAGATGTGGTTGTGAAGGATCTGCCGGGTTTGGTGATGTGCTGGTTCTGGATTGATCTGCTCCTCTTCCGTTACCCTTAGGTTTGTGATACCTGTTGGGTATGGTTGTTGGAGAAAGTCTCAGATTTGTTGGATCGCTGCATACTTTGAATGAGTGCATGGATGAGAAGAACGTTCTTTTTATTTATCCTGTGTGATTTCTGTCCATTTTACCGTTTGACTGGATCTACCTGGAAAGCTGGAGCTTTTGTAACTGGACTGGGAGGTTGAATGGGTTGGTGGACGTGGTCCCCAAAGCATGAGGAATTGGTTGTTTACATGTTGTAGAAGCTGTTGATTCTGGGTTGCTTTTGAGAGAGTTATTACTTTTTCTAATGGTCGATTGGGGTATTTCTAGAGAGAGAGAGTGTTTTAATGGGAAACTATTCATGATATTGTGTCGACTTTTATTTTCTGCCCAGAGATTAGTTGTTTGGATTGCAGTGGAAATAAATCTTGTTATCTCTTTCTTTGCTAGTAATCTGAATCGGGTTGACGTGATCTGAAAGGTTAACATTCAACTGAAGCTTGGGATTGATCATTCGTGTACTATATAGTTTACGGGGTTATCCATTCTTACATTTTTCTACATTATAAGGCGGCTTCTGAATTGTACATTTTGGGTTTTGTTACTTTGGTTGAATTATCTTAATACCGCCCACAATTTGGTATCTGTTTTTTGCATCGGAATGTTTGGCAAATAGTTATGTAGAAACCATTTTATTTTTTGCATAAGATAACTTGACGATTTGGTCTATATTGTTCAGGTCATTGCGTGTTTATGCTTTTTTGATCTTGCTGGTATGTTAACATTTGGTGCATATCAAGTTTGATGGTTACAGGCTGCAATTCTGTTGGTGGAAATTCTTCTTTGGTCAACTATTGATTTTAAAACTCATGGTAGAACTATCATAAGGTGTAGAAATTTCTGGATTACATTAGCTTTTAATTCTAGAAGAGAGAAAATGTTTAGACTAATATCATCTATGATATTTTCTTTGCCCATTACATTACCCCAGGCCATGTGCCTGATTCTTCTGTCTTTTTCCTTCTTCTTTTCTATTTCTCTTTACTCCAACTTAAGGCTTCAAAACTCTGTCATTGCATATTTCTACATCAGTTGATATCATGATCAAAGCTCCAAGGAGTTCTCAATGAAAAAAATCTCCACGATCATCCATAGTTTCAAGCCTCTTCCTCCTCATTAAGCCGTTGAGTCTGCCCTCTTTGATTTTTCCAATCAACCTGGCTTTCTTGCTCACCATCCTTTACCACATCTCCTTGCAATTAATTGTGCACAAACTTTGTTCAACTTTCGTGTTCACCTTTTACAATTTCCACTTATTCAATAATCTTGTAACCGTGCTCAATGCATCCTTGCTCGCATCCAATTATAGCTCGAACCATTTGCTATCTCACATCATTTAATCCTCTTGCACTCATGTGCTTCTCATTTCTCATGCACTCATGTGCTTCTCATTTCTCATGCACTTTGGTTGCAACTATTCATGCACTCCAAGCCATTCAAATCTGCATATTGTTTCTTGACATCCCACTTCTCCATAGCCCCTACATCACATGGAGACCTGCCTGCAAATATGTGTATCACGCTCAACATATCCTATGAATCATTGCACCCTTACATCTCACTAAGTCCCATCACAATTTGGTTGTTTTATATCTGAATGAAAGTTTTTGCAGTCAGCAATATGCTAAGTGTACTAAGCTCAGGTAGCCTAGTGCAAATCTCTGCAAAACTTGTAATCTTTCGCTTATCCCACACCAAAATTCACCTTGCAAATCTCTTACCCACCCATTGCAGCTCTCCATCACAATTTGGTTGTTTTATATCTGAATGAAAGTTTTTGCAGTCAGCAATATGCTAAGTGTACTAAGCTCAGGTAGCCTAGTGCAAATCTCTGCAAAACTTGTAATCTTTCGCTTATCCCACACCAAAATTCACCTTGCAAATCTCTTACCCACCCATTGCAGCTCTCTCTCTCTCTCTCTCTCTCTCTCTCTCTCTCTCTCTCTCTCTCTCTCTCTCTCACTTGCAATTCTTGTCATCTCTTCCCCTTCTTCATTTGCATGGTTTATGAACAACTTGCATGTGGCTGCCCGATCTGATTCATCCATGTTTTACCTACTACCTTAAGCATTTCCTGTGCGACTCTAGTGCAGGCCTTCACCTACAAATCTCAGTACACCTCAACCCTAATCCTAGACATGCGGGAAACAGTTTAAAAAAGAATAACAGTACATGGATCTTCTCAATCTACCCATTGGATCTACCTCAAATAGTTCATGCAATTATATTCAAGAGTTTTGGAATAAATAGATCATTTTACTAGAGCTCTTTAATTGTTTCTAGAGGATCTATAGCTAGATACTTCTATGAAAATGTGTTGCATATGATGATGTTTGCCCCTTTCATATCTTTTAACGGGAAGGTTGCCCATTCATCTATTTTTCATCTGTTTGTGTTCCCATTCATTTCTTCTTCATTGGGATGTGTTCATCAACAACAACATCAAGCCTTTAGCTCATTACGCAGGGTCGAAAACTTCTTCGGGATGTGTTTATAATAAGGATAAATTTCACTACTTTAGCAAAACAGTAGAAAATGTCCTGTTCTTCCTTCAGCAACATTCAAACTCTTTGTAGTAATTTTTTTTGCACCGTGGAAGGATTAATGTAGGACAAACATGAGTTGTGTCTCGTGTCATAGTATCTTTTTTTTTTAATTTGAATTGTCATTTACTTGTTATTAGTTTAATTTTAGTATTTATTTTAATTATAATGGGCAATTATTTCATTTCAGTTTAGGATAAATTTGAATAATTAATTTTTCTACCAGTATCTTCAATTATAAATAAAGATCCAAGGGTGATGTAATTATCAGACTATAATATTGAATGAAATGATGCTTGTTATGCTTTTTATTCTTTTTAGACCATGTTTCAGATCCTTCCCCTTCAATTATTCACGGCTTCTATAGCTCTCCTGTTGAATCACTTTCCATCAGCTTCCTCTTCAATGATTTCTTTCGTGGTTAATGTAATTAGAAGTTGATTTTACTGTTTTCGTTTTGGTCAGTAACTTAATAAAGTAATAGACAAAGACATTGACTGCATTTTTTAAAACCTTCCTTCAGATGATGCTATTTTTTGTTTTTAACGAGGCTGTGAACATCCTGTTTGTTTTTTTCGCCAAGCCTATTTATTTTGTTAACATTCTAAGTGATTTACACCTGCATATTATGGCAGAATGAACATCTTTGACTCCTAAAATGTGTATACACCTACAGAAGTCATTGAATTGTAATATTATATTGTCATAAGTAAGTACAACATGGCAATGTTAAACAGAGACTAGGAAAGCCAACTTGATTTGCTGCTTGATGGGATGATCATTATGTGAATAAATATGAATGGAAACGCTGGTCAACATTGGTGATCATAGCAATGTTTTGCTTATTTGAGTATTGCTAAGTTCTTTTTTGAATTCATATTTATAATCTTAATTTTTTTCCTGCACTCCTTCCAGTTCAAATCAGCATTTTTACCCTTTTTTCTCGATTTGTTTTCTCAGCAGTAATCCCTAGGAGACTCTTTAATGGTGTATGATGTTATTTTTCAGGGAATTGGGTTTCTGTTTTACTTCTAATTAGGTTTCATGGATACTATCAAAACTATTTTTGTGCCCACTAGTATGGAGTAACGTGGTCAATGAATAAGATCGTTAATGAGGTTGTGTTTCAGTTTGGCTTTATTTTTTCCTTTGTTTAATTGGTTTGGATAGAATTGGAAATCCCGTTGAAGTGTACTAGCAACTGCGTATTGGTTTGCATGAGTGACTTTGGCATTCAAATAATTTCTATTTTCAGTTCTTTTTTTGGGTTAATTTAATTGCTTAAATTCACACCCGTAGTTGCATTTCATTTAAGATATTGATGTCTTAAATGCATGAGTCTTCGAGTTGTGTTCCCTAATTTATGTTAAAGTTCATTATGAACAGTTGAAATCTAATTTAGAAGGGATGGTTTTTCAGATGTTTGGAGGAGTTGCTTTCGAAGTTCATTTGGCATGATAGATTATTGTTCCTAATTTCTTGAAAATGTCAAGTCCTGATCAAGAAAAGGTGCTCTTTTCAACTAGCAATTCATTTTAACGTTGTTTGAAATATGTTTATGTTTTAAGTAAATATTTGATATTGATTGTCTTCTCCCTCTTAAAATCAACAGCTTGGAGTCAAACTTCATGCTAGGCTTTCTCTAGATACCATTTCAGCCATACCAATCAAGAAAAGACGTTTCATTTTTTCTAGGTCTCCTTCACCTCCTCCTGAGACAAATTCTTCACTAACAGTAGATTGTGGTACCACACAAAATAAATCTTTTTCTTTAGTGCAAACTCCTTCCTTGGAAGCTAGTGATATTCTTACTTGCTTGACTGCTTCAACAAATGAAGGTTCATCTCTTGAATCTGGATTCAATAATTTTGTTAATGGAGACGTAAGTGAAAACCCTAAACATCAAGACCCTATTGAGCATGACTGTAATTTGAAGTTAGAAAGTAAGGCATCCATTGCTTTCGAAGAAGAAAATGGATTGAAAGATACTGTTTCTGATGACAAACCTGCCTTCTTGAAAGGAATTGAACAGCATTCCGCACCTGTAGGTCATGTTGATGCGCCAATGGAAGAGGAAATTTTGGATGCCAAAAACTTTTCAAGTCAGACATCTGCGGCACGACTTCCTAAAAATACTGAACTGCTGTGTAAAGAAACCTTTGAGAAGGTGCATATTAGTGAATCACGATCTGTTAGACAAGCACAGTTGGAGCTGCAAGATCCAAATTCTCTGCAGGATGTGCAGGATCCTCAGAAGAAATGTTTCGCATCAGGGCCCAACACTGATTCTGCTCAGAGTTGTCTGGATAGATCAAACTGGGACTTGAATATGACTATGGATGCATGGGATGAATCCATGAATGACTCAGCACGGAACCATGAAGATGAAGGGCACAAAAGATCTGGCTTTGTTAGTTTTCTTGGCAGAGGGCCACAGCCATTCCTTATGGGTGCAAGCCCAACAAACCGAACCCCTAATGCTTCCCCTCCATTGAGCAGCGAGCCTAAGAGTTTGAGCAATGATCACTTCTTGAGCCTTTGCACCTCACCTAAATCTGGAGGTGTGTGTTGTAACACTGAAACGGAGGCATGCCTAGATTTGCACCTTAAACCTGCATTAATGTCTGAATCATACTTCCCTCATCAAACTCCTTTCTGTTTAGGAAATGCTGATTCTCTTAAAGAAACACAATTTCTTATTCTATCTACAATGCCTTCGTCTTCTTCTGCTGACCCAAAATATTCTATATGTGGAGCGGTCAAATCTGAGCCTTATCATGAATGCATTCAGCTTGAGGAGAAGAAAACTGAAATTGCTGGGTCAGAAGCTTTTGGCCTGAAACCCATTAAATCTGAACAATGTGAAATTGGAGAAGCCTCCAAAATAACAATATCTGGAGTTAATTCTGCTTCTGATGCAGCTATAAAACTGGAGCCTGTAGAAAACAAATCTCAAGACTCTGTTGCAGGACAGGAAACAAGATTGTCCCATATAAGTGCAGATGATCACAACTTGCTTCAAAGTTCTAAGACACCTCTTGAAGCTGTTAGTTCTGATACCATGGCTTTAAATACTAAATCTGATTCATTTATTATGCAGATACCTGGAGAATATACTCATTTGCATAAATTTGAGTTGGATAGTATTTCCCAGGTAATGCAAAATGAGGTTCTTAGCAATGATAAAATAGTCCATAGGACAATGTCTGCTGGTGCTGGCAATTCCCAATCTGAAAATGGAATTTTCTGTGAGCCTAAAAGTTTGTTTTTGGAACCTTTAGTTGATAAAGACAAGGAGTTGATTTCAATAAAGCAAGCATCTAACGAAGGAAGTGAACATGCTGATTCCTTCATTAAATCTCAGGTAGAGGGTCAGATTATGAATAATGGTACTTCATTAGAGAGTGAAGCATGTGAACAACCTCACATAGCTGCAGAATCGCTGTGTGAATCATTCAATTCTGGTACTTTTGTAGAGAGGGTTTTTGATGAAAAGGCTGAAATTGATTTTGGTTTGAGCTTAAGCAAAACTGATTCCAAAACTACGGCTGTGGTAGAAACATATACAAATAGTGATGCGCTTAAGTTTATTCAGGCTATGAATCAACCCATTTGCATGATGGAGGAGCAAGATGATAATGAATGCAAGACAGGTAGTCCAAATGTTATAGGTGAGGTGATGCGTGCAGTTCATGAAAAAGTTGGAATTAATGATCATGGTTATGAGGATGGTGAAGTGAAAGACGGAGCATTTCTTGGTGCTAATGGGGATTCTAATCTTAGAGTTGAGACAAAAATGGCAGAAGGTACTTGTCCAAGAGATATTGCTGACGTTCCTGTGGCAATGTCATCATCGGATGAACTTGTGAAGCATTCCATAATAGAAAGTTCTGAGATGTCCAAGGATCTTGGAACTGTTGAGTGTGCTAATAATATTGATCCTGCTATTGCAACAGATCTGCAGGAATCTTCATCAGTGACCGGTGATTCTAATAGAGTGAAAACAAGCAAGACTACTAAAAAGATACCACGAGATTCCACAAAGAAGGATAAGGTTTCAGAGCGGAAAACCAAATCTGACAAATTTCCAACTCTAAGAGTTGCCAGTATTGAAAACAATGCTAATGGCAGTAGCGGTATAATGGAGAAAGCTGGAGGACGTGCTAAATCTTCTGTTCCTCTTTCATCCAGTGAAGCCATAACGGATGCATATGACAGGGGCCCCACAGGGCGAATAATCAACTTAAATTCAGCTTCATCTCGAAATATGAATCCCATTCATGAGAGGCCACTTTTATCAAAGGTTGAGAGAGATAACTCTGCTTATGAATTGTTCATGAGGGACAAATCTCATTCTCGTCACAGCAGGTGACTCCTCAAGCCTATATAAATATATTTCTAAATCTTTTATTTTTATGCTGACTAGGTATTTACTTCTCTTCTCTTCTTTTCTTTTCTTTTTTATATACCCGCTGTTATAATATTTTATTCCAGGGATGAAAACCCAATTGAAAAGTCTCTTAAAACTGAAAATGACAAAAAAAGAGGTTTGGCTTGTGGAAACCATGGATCAGGTTCTATAAACTCGAGGGTCAAAGGTGGATCAGATTCTTCACGCTTGAGGTTCAGAGATAAACAGCGGCCAAACCAGTTCATTGATCGAAACTGTGACCCCAACTATATACGGGAACAAATCAATGAGCATAATGATTTTGCATATTCTAGACCCATTAGTTCGGCTGAAATTTCTTTGGGTTCTGGATCAGATGCTTCTGCTTCTTGTGCTGGGAGGATTTCAAGGAAGGTCACTAATAAACTGCAAAGTCGTCCTCATATGGCATGCAGAAGGCATTCTCCTGGAGGCCCAGACCAAATGCCAGTTATGCGTCATCCGACCGGTGAAGTTATGTATGTTTCTCAAGAAAAAATGAATAGACCAGTGCCAGGTGAAATGTTGGATCCTCTTCGAGCCCAATTTGAACGTACTGACCGCATTCCAGCCCATCATGAAAGACTAAGCCTTTCACCGATGCGTCGTAGAGGCCCTCCACGGTTAACTCCTCCCATGTGCTCACCTAGGTCTCAAGCCAGGTCTCCTTCTCATTGGCCACCACATGATGCTTCTGAAGGCTTTAACGGAACACCAATTGTTATGCAGGAATCAATGAGATCTACTCGTCAACATTATGCAGAAGAAATTTTGGCCAGAAGAAGAGGGTCTACTTATAGGGCCAGATTACCAGATGGTATGATGGAAGTTGTATCTTCAAGAGAACATGATTTCCCAAGGCCGCCAGGAAGGGATTTTCCTCGTAAAATTCAAAGGTTAGATATGAATGACCCGAGGCAGGTTCCCGCGGAATACTACCGTACACCTTTCGACCATGGACAAATTCATGAACTTTTTGTGGATGGTGAACGTGCTGTTGGAAGGAGATGCAATGAGGTGCATGTGCCAGCTCGTTACAGGCAACACTGTTTTGAAGGAGATGATGTTGAAAATTTCTCCTTTCGTGGTGAAGAAGGTCCTCCTCCTAGGTCCTATAGGTATCACCCTGAAGGCAATCAAGGGTTTAATGAAGGTGGAAACTCAAGGGAATTTGAAGGACGTTTTAAAAATAGATTAGGTAATCCATCAAGAAGGTATAGACACATTGAGCAGCAGCAACATGAAGATGGCTTTAGGCATCAAGATGGGCAGGGATGGAATGACTCGGGTTTTAATAATATTAGACCAAAGAGGAGGAGATACTAGCGATATATCCTAGAGCAGAGTTTCGGCCACAACTGAATGACTGATCCAAGTAAGGCCTCGTTTGTTTCGTCTTTATTACGCCGTTTTCAAACCGCGAAAACACTTAGGTATCTACTGTTTGTTTACACGTCTTTTCTATAATACATTTTCCTATTACTCCGTAATTCCGCCGGTCCGAAAAGGGAAAAAATTCTGCTTACTCCGTCTAGATGAGCTTATGCAGAAAGTGCACAGGAATCAAACGAGGCCTTAATATCTAATTCTGATTATTAAAGTTATAGCACAGAAAGATCTAGTAGAAGATCCAATAGTTGAGAGCTAGGGACTCTGCTGTGGCTTGCAGACGGTTTCTTCACCTTAATAAAATAAAATAAAATAGAAAAAAGAGAGAAAGGGCCTAATTTTTCTCTTGGCATTACAGTCTTCTTCCCAAGTTGCTGATACCTCATATTGGCAATATTTGACACACTCTGCAGCTAGATGATATAATGGCCCTGCTGGTGACAAAAATGAGAAGCAGTGCATTACTGTATGATTGTCGAGAGAATTTGCTTGGAAGGAATATCTTAAGCTCTTTATGCGTGTTTAATGAAGCAAGCTGTTCTAAATTCGCTGGAGTAACGAGCAGCTCAGACTTGCAATTGCTGGATTCGAAATAGGAACAAAAAATTTATATGCCAGAGAACTGAATTATTAGAATTTACTTGGGCAGAACCATTCAAAATTAGTTGGACTGGGGTACCTGGATGTTCCATTTGGCTCTACAATGGGCTTGTCAATGAACTGGTTAAGCTTATATTCAATTGAATTGATAAAGATGGTAAACTATTCAAGTTATAGAAAAGAACTTTTTGGACTAGACACCTGGTATAACTCCCCATAACCATAGTAAATCCATTGGACAGTGTGAAACAGTTGGAAACCAAACAAGGTGGGATTAAGGATTTGGATTGTAATTTGATGTTCCTTTTGAGGCAAGATTGTTTTCAATCCATTGTATATGATGCTGTAATCAGTTTGCTTTGTTCTTCGCAGGAAAATGAATTGATTGTTAGAGTGAATAGCTTGTAATTACAGGGATTGCATCATGGCTTCTCATATACATCCTCATCCATAGAACCTCTTAAAACTTTTCCAGCCGAATCTACCTCGCTGTTGGAGAACTGCAAGGTTTGTAAGTGCCTTCTTTCGTCAGTATTTCTTCAGGCATCGTTATATCTTTAGAATGAGGGAGGGGAAGGGTAAATTTGATATGTAATGGTATTTTGAAGTTTGATATGTATTGAAACTCTTATGATGAAGATTTGAATCCTCTCCAAGATATCTTCTCAGTTTAAGCTCATATTTTCGTCCATGGCATGATATTTATAAGCAATGGGGTGAAAGGCTAAGGCAGCCTCCAACAATTATCTACAAGTTCTAAAGCTTCAATAAATACAAATTAACCACTGTTCCTAAGTATTGGATGATCATATGCACAATCATCGATCTCATTCAGATTTTGATTGTTATGATTTTATTTGTAAGTGTAATTTTGTCAACTCTCATGTCTTGAGAGTGGTAGGGGAAATTTAAATATGTATCATTTTATATCATCCTATTTACATATTTAATATAAAATTTTAATATTACATTCAAACTATATTATATTATTTTTATATCAAATATGTTATTTATATATTTTTTTTCTATCACTTATATATTTTATTTTTATCATTCATATTTGATATGAAAGTGAAATATGAGTGATATGTATGTAATATTCGTGTTAAATAAGTAAATAGAATAGTATAGAATGATATGCATGTAAATCTCTCTAATTTTAGTCCAATTGATCAAATATTTAATTTCATATATGAATGATTGATCTTATATGCGATAAAAGATCATGTGTTGTACATGTAAATAGGCTTGTTGCTTACAAGTTAAAAATCTCGTATTAGGAAGGTGAAAATTATTCTTTGAAGGTTTCTATTTCTTTAGTGATGCTTAATTGAAATGATTTGGTTATATATTAATGCAGCCTAATAAGATGATAGTCTATGCTTCAAAATAGTTGAAGTGATATGAGAAGACTATCTTACATATGATATGGAATTAGTTATTCTTTTGCATTTAATATTTAGAGATATTATATAGATGGTGTAAATATGAGATATATATACTAATTACTAGAGTCAAATACATTTAAATTTTAGAAGAAAAGTTTAGCTTAGAGCAAAGGTGGTGGCTCAAGTTGATTAAGGATTAAAATTTAAGTATGTAATATCAATTTAGCAAAGCTAATATTTAACAAATGTATTGAGCAAAAAATTTACTAGAGTGATAGGTGGGCTATCCCTGAGATTGCATTAGTTTGGAAGATAGGGTCTGTAAAACCCATTGAAGTGGTGTGCAGTTGCACTTGTTCTAATCCGATCTAATAAGAATAATGCAATTGGATTTATGCATTTATTGAATGTTATGTATGCATGTAAATGCATGTAACTATTTTGAATCGGGTCCCAAGGATCTCTGTATATGAATGAAAAATTTTAAAAATTTTCCTTCAGAGCTCTCCGACATCAAGCTCTTGGGTTTAGGCCATTTGAAATGATTTGGGTCGATGTAGCAGCGCTATTGTTTGGAGTTTTGTGATGCTAGGTCAAATTTTTATTTAAAAATATCAATTTTCACTCATTTTGTATTTTATCAAACCATTTCAATACCTTAGGTAGGCAGTTAGAGAGAGAAAGGGAGATATTCCTTGAGAGAGTACATTTCAAGTAACTCCAATTGTTTTCTACTGACATTCTAGTTTAAAAAGTTATTTGAATTGAGGTAGGTTACATTATGTCTATTTTAATATTTTAAAAAAGAATATTTTGAGATTTTTTTATACAAATTAGAATTTCGTAGCATACAAATGAAGATAATTTTATAGCCACTAAACTTTTAATTTGTAACTTTCTATATATTATAAATATGATCATTCTGAATATTTAGATAATTTTCAAGAAAATTTTCATAAGGTAAATTAACAAATGCATTATTTTAAGCAATATAGAAAATAATTCTAATTTTAAAAATCAAGGTTGTAACATAATTAAAGCTGCAAAATAGTGTTATGAACAATCTTTGATAATATGCTAAAATTGTGTTTAGTTGTTGAATTTGTTGTCTACTGGTAAAGCATTATAAGCATTTTTAAAATTAGTTTATTTACATTTCTTTTATTGCAATGCAATTATATCTGTACTTATCTGTTTGAATTGTGTGATTCTATGGCGCTTGATATTAGAGGAAATTTTATCGTGTTAAATGCATCAGGAGTCATAAGGATTTAAATTGTTGAATATCTAATATATGCTAAGAAATCAGAGTCATAAGATTCTATTTTTTGATATACTAGCATAGGGAGTCATAATGACATGAATTATAATATCTATTTTAATGAGAGGTATAAGGGCGTGAGAGAAATCTATTATTTTTTGGTATGATATATGAAACATTTGTTTATTTATATTCAATGCAAAGTTTGATATATTTTAGTTATACGTAAGTAATATTCTATTTAGTACAATAAATTATCAATAACTACTTTTAAATTCCGTCAAATGCATAATGGGTTAATTATTGAAAATTTAGATTTGTGAATTGTGACATACTAAGATTTGTTAACTCGCATATATGCATTTTGTTTAAGATTGGGGAAATGGTAAAGAGTTGGCTGAGTAGTTAAGGTTGCAGGTTATGATATGTCTAAGTTAGTATAAATACCTTTTGGTTTATAGATGTACTGTCATGACTATCATCTATTCTACTATGATTTACTTTATTTTGAGTATGTTGCCATGTTGTAATAACCTAAAGTTCAAAAAATATTTTTATTTGAAAAATCTAAAATTTTTAAATTGGAGTGCTCTGGTGCTTGAGGGGTAGCTCTAAGGGCTGGAATTAATGCAGCGACACTGAACTCTCTGTCCTACAATAACTTTAGATTGAGTATGTAGCCCTGCGACACTGAGCACTGAATAATATTTTTCTAATACAAATTCATCCATTAAGTATTTCTTTTCCATCCCCCCGCTTGTTTGGCTCATCAGAGGAGAGAAGAGAAGGAAGAAAGAAGAGCTTCAAGGTTTTTTTTTTATATGTCATTTCTGTTAAGAAAATAGTTTTGATCGTTATAAGTGATCTCTACTCACTTATGTTTTCAATGATTTTGAGTGTGGTATATTTCTCCCTTTTAATAGTGATAAAAATGTGATATCTCACATTATAGTTATAGTGAACTTTCATTATATAACTTTTGGTATATGATAGACATAATTATCTTAAATTGACTTGCTTATATAGAGTTCTCACTAGTTAGTTTTGCATGAATATTATTTTATCTAATTATCTAAAATGAGTAGAAATGATTGGGCATGAAATGATTAGGAGAAAATATATGGAATCTAGAAATGACATATATGACATACATATGACTATAATTTATTTGGCATAACATGTATTTTAACATAATACATTAATATTGATGAAAACAATGTATAAATTTACACGTTATGAAAATTACATATGCTATACATGATGTATATGTGTATAATGTGATATGCGTAAGAATAGACAAACTAAATGAATTGATATGCTAAATAAGATAAATGGAATTAATATTAATATGATTGATAAGATAGATGACCGATGACTGATACGATTAAATTGATGATTGATGAGTGGATGCATATGACAAATAGAATATATATAGGAATAAGATGGATGACTGATATGTGAATGACACGAAATTGATATGATTAAACCATCAAGATCAAGATGCCCTATCTGCATATCTAATACACTACAAGAGTACAAAATATATTCATATATGATAAGAATACTGGTAAAAATTAATAGATGAATTAATTGATATGATAGATGATTGATACGACAGATGATTGATATGATAAATGATATATATGTCATGAGGGATATGATTGATTGACTGATGATAAGATTGATTGATTGACATGATTAACAAGTAACTAAATAGAAATTGTACTGATATGAACATGTGATATATATGATAGGATATGATTGATATGGTATGGTAAGGATATATATGAATTACATGATATACATGTTCCTATATCTATATATTTAATGCTTCAGTTTGATGCATTTCATGCCAAAGCAATGTTTTATAAGCCTCTTGCGAGCATGAACCTTTTACTAAAGTTTTTTTAAGGTTTCGATGGGATCCTCGATCGATGGATATGATTATTGTTTCATCAATGAAATGTATTCTCACTGGCAAAAAAACTAGCAATGTTATCAACTTAATGTCGATCACCACTAAATTTATGGATTAGTAACCAAATTTGAGTAACTAAGCATATTTAAATATTTTATAACCGTTGCTTTTTAATAAAACTTTGATAAATGATATTTTGATTGATAGGGCATCTCCTCTGCGATAGAAAAACCCATTTTTCAATTCAAAATACATTAATAATCATATTAAATAGTAATTTATCTCCAATCGAACATCATTTCTAACATCAAAAAGAATATTTCGTGTATATTCTTTCTCTTCTTAAAATAAATTAATACATTAAAACATTAATAGCATAAGTTAAACTTTGGGGTTGTGAATATATTTGTGATCAAAATCATAAAATTTAATAATTTTAGAACAATTTTATAATTAAAAAAAGGTTTTGTGAATAGTGGGACGCCAATATTGGGTCGCACTATTCATGGCCACGGAATTGAGGCTCGAAATGGTGTTCGGGTGGAGCAGGCGCTGGACTGCAAACGAGTGTATGGAGTTTGATCGGAGATACAATAAAGGACCATTGGTTAACAAGAACATTTACAAATTGAATTACATGCAATAGTCATGGAATATTCAACTTAAAGTATATCATAAACAATCTTCCAATTTGTGATCATATTCCTGAAAGTAGGGAGCATAACATTTAAGCCATAACTTTTTGTTATGTAGAATTTTTGTTCAGAAGAATATAAAATAGTATGTGGCTCCCTCTTCCTGAAGGTTACTAAAAATGTTTAAAGTTTGCTAGTAAAAAGATAGAAATTTAATGTGATGATGGGCTCCACTCCAAACTCGAAATCAATTTCAAATTTGAACTCGCTTAAATATAATTTGAGCCAATTCTAAGGCTTTGTTTGGGTCGATTTTTTTATTGTTTCTTAAAGCAACTTTCTGAAAAAGTAGTTGCTGAAAAAGTTGCTTTAAGAAACAGTAAAAAAAGCTAATCCAAATAAAGCCTAAATCTTCCTTGAAATAACAATATATAAACGTAACATATTATTTATTTAATTTAAATACTTTTTTGTCAA